TTCCATGCCACTGGTAACTTTGCACAATGTATAGATACCTGCAGGAAATAAAATGGATCTAAATGGAAGAGTAAACTTGGTCGTGTTTTCCCTCTACCCACTGCAAAAAGAGGATGAATATAAGGACACTGGACTCAGTGACCACTTTCTGTGTGCTGCCCTGCCTTGATGATGGTCCAGGTTATTGTAATGTCCATCAATACTCTCCTGCCTTTGTTGTGTCTGAGATATCTTACTGAGGAAAGAAAATTCTGAATTCTTTCATACAGAGCATTTGCAAACACAGTGCTCCCAAATTTTTACAGTTCTATGCCAATAAAAAGAGTCTTGGTTTTTGATTAGTTATTTACATGAAGAGAGAGGATTTTCCACCTTGAGCATTAGATTGTTTGCATTTTCATTTGCACTGAAGTAGTCATGTATTCAGAGGAATAAATGCATAATTTGTAAACCAATACTGCAATTATAGGTAATGAACTGTAGTAGAGCTAGAATAAAAGGAAAAGAGTGAGAAATCAAGATGCATTCTGTACTTTTTGAATTAATATTTTTTTAAATCTCAAATTGATCAGTCTTAAATTAATGTTAATATACCTATGGTTGATTTTACACTGAGAAGGGGACCTAAATCACCACTTGAGGCCTTCATGGTTTCCTGAAATTCCTTTTTAACTTAATTTTCTCTGCTGCAAATGTTAAGGTTTGACTTGGCAAAGCATTCATGGCTCAGTGTCTTAAAGGAGAACTCTAAAATTTCTGAGATAAATAAATTTCCCGTCCTTTAGAAAGTCCTAAAAGAGCTACATATATTAATTAAAATATGCTTAATGAGGCTAAACATTAAAAAAAATCATCACTCTCAAAACATAGGATACAAAATGAATGGAGTATTTTAATTGATTAAAAAATTAATTACAGATTAATTCCTGTGTCTTTTTAATGATGCTTTCTGATATTGTGCCAAAGGAAACCAATGCCTCCTTCTTCAAAGAAGAAGTAGAAGAAATGTAATAACAATTTGTCAGTATCTGTTGGAAAAGAGTTGCCAGACAGTAGTAAAAACTCCTGGTGCTTTTTTGGTATCAGTAGACTTTATTAGGTAGTGGAAATACATACTTTCCAGTAAAAGTACAAGACCAGAACCAAATATCAGTCTGCCATGCTTAATAGGTTCTTTTCCAATGACACTTGTAGCACTAGATAAGCACTTCTAAATTTTTTTGCTATTTACTGTTTTTCTATACAAACATTTCTGCCATCATCATCATTCAGAATCACTTCTGGCTATGCAGTTGTGGAGGAAATCCCCCTACTCAGCCCTTTTGCAACACTGATTTATTACACTGCAGTGGTGTTTTGGATTAATACTGGTGAGCAGCTAAGCACCTCACATTGTTTACTTTCCCCCTTTCCCCAGTGGGATGGGGAAGAGGAATGGAAGAATAAAAGCAAGAAAACTTGGGAGTCAAGATAAAGAAAAGTTTAATAACTGAAGGATAAATAGAAGAAGAAGAAAGAAAAGAAGCAAACAAACCAGAAGTGATGCAAAGGCAACACTCAACACACAACTACTCCAGTGGGTAGAACGATGACCAACCAGCTCCTCAACAAAAGATGGCTATCTCCTCTAAACCCCCCACTCTTTTAATTGCTAAGCATGGTGCTACATAGTATGGAATATCTCTGGTGAATTCTAGTTCTCTGCTCTGTTGTATCCATTCCCAATCCATTGTGCACCTCCCCAGTCTATTCACTTAGGAGGCTGGGAGAGAAACAGAGAAGGCCTTGGTGCTGTACACTGTTCAGCCAGAGCTAGAACATTAGTGTGTTACCAGCATTTGGGTCAAAAGCCTCAACCACAGCACCATATGAGTTGCTATGAAGTAAATGGCTTCCATCCTAGACAGAGCCATTAAAACTGGGCAAAATGTTTCAGTATTTCATCTAAGAGTGACACTTGGCTATGGAAAAGGAGGCAAAACTTGTTATAGTGAACTAATTGACAGAGTATGCAAGTTTCTGAATTATATGTAGGTATCCTCAAGGAAGAGGACAAGAAAACCACCATAGAATTTAAGCTGCTCCCTGTTTTTTATCCACTTTAAATTGGCTCTTTTTCCATGAACCCCTAAAATAGGTCTATGTTTAAGCTTAACAATACTAAGTCCAAAATCTCATGCTTTGGCATGCTCTTTCTTGTATTATTGCGACATTGTGTTTGGGAAGAAGAGAGATTGAACAAAACTGAATCAGTTCCTGTGAAAGAACTGCTGCATTTGCAGAAATTCTATTACACAACAATGCTCTGTGTTATTGGGTGTGCGAATCTCTGAGGATACTTTCTATAGCATGTAGTATACTAGCAGTATATGAAAAAGCAGTTGGATGGAAAATGTTAGCGAAGCACAATGAATTCTAGAGCTTTTTTTATTAACACTTGTGGGCTGTTTTTTTAGTGCTATCATGGACTCTTGACTAGGAAGGACAGGTTCAAGCCTTTACTCATGAATGCAACCAGTTATCCACACTGAAAATTACAAACAGAGGTCTCAGGGCTAACTACACAGCCAGAAATCTTTTAGGTATTACAAAATCGATGACAGTAACAATCAGTTGTATCTGTTAGATTGGATATAGAATGCATGTAGCCTAAATCATCCATTTCCATGAAATATGCTGGCTTTTAAAAAACCATGTATAGGATCAGTCATCAATCATTTCAGAAAATTACCACCTTTTCCTGAGTCTTCGGTTTCACATATCTGAAACAAAGGAGACGCATTTGTTAAAGGTTTTTAAACTCTTACATATTGTTACCTGGAATTGTTAGTCTAATCCTATGACATGTAAATCATTAGATGAAGAAAAGAAAACAAACGAAAAACAAACCGTAAGCAAAGAAAATGAGAGTGGTAAGCAGTCTGTATCTTACCTACAGATCACTGGTTTACTAGCTCTGCTATCTAACTGCTTAGATTCATTGTGGGTTGACAGATTCATTCTAGACAGGGACATTTTTCCGTTTAACCACGTTTCTTTTCTTATTTTGCCCTCCTTCCCCATATGCCATAGAAAAAAAATATATTCTGAGTCTCTTTCTCTCTCCCTGTGACATCTTCATTGCTGCTTCATTAACCAGAGCACCATCAGTGCATTTTATTACAGCCTCTCTCTTGGCCTACTATGTTATTGCTAAGATGCAGCTTTGGGCTGGCTATCAAAATGTTAGTCTGTGTTTTAATCCTTCTGTCCATTCAAAAGAGGGGGAAGTTGTCTCTTTGGCAAAATCCTGAATTAAATCCATATTTTATCTATTATCCTTACTGGCCCCACATGAAATGGATTGGGCAGGTATAGTGTAGGACGCGACAGATTTATTTACCTATTTATTTGTTGTAAAAGGCTGGGGGCATATCTCCTGTGTGATCAGTGCATTAAGACAATTTAGGCTGATTTTATCTATGTGCCTTCAAATGACCTTGGAAAACTACTGAAGTTAATGAAAGTGTGTTTCAATTTCAGGTTTGTTAAGAAATGAAAAGGTCATGCTGTGATAGATATCCTCCGTGACATATACCTCCAGTTGTACCAGTAGGGAGGGGACATGATTTAAATACTTTCTGGTTTCCAATGGGTTTCCTAGGTATAGAATGCACTCAATTCATTTTTAAGTGAAGAGAAAGATATAACTGCAAGCATGATAGAAGCATATAAATCAGTGCCAGAACACAGAGTATATTTGGAATCTCATATGTAGCCATGAAAAGGCAAATAAGAAACTTGATGGCCTCTTCAGAGCAGTGCAGATGTTAAAAAATTGGGCAGTGTGTGTGGTGCAAATTTTAGGGGAGATGGGACTATATATGTTGTCAGTACCTTTCCATCTACCCTGCACGAATTCCAGCCCTCCCAGGTCCACTCTGTCAGAACTCTCTGCCAGTGCTGCATGTTAGACAGCTGCACGCCTGCATCTGTTCTCTGTTTTCCACTCAATTAAAGCAAAGAGAAAAAAAATATAAATAATAGAAATTGTTCTGACAGTAAATTTAGTGAAAAACTATGTCTGAAATATATGATTCTGTAGGAACTTGGTTATTACTGCCTTAAAATTGTTGCCTTTTTTTTTTTTTTTTTTTTTTTTGGTAAATATACAAAAAGCTTTCTGTCTTACACAGATCACTATTTGGGGAGGAAATGGTGAAAAAAGAAGTTAAGTGAGAAAGGAGAAATGCTTGTCATATTAGATACAGAAAAGGCAAACTGGTAGTTGATCTATAAGGGATTATTAGAAAAGGCTGTGACTCCTCCTGCATTAAGTGATGTGGAGTACACTGCATGTACATCTGTCAACTCAAAACTCATTAAAATTTTCATTATTCTGTTATTTATATTGTAGTTGTGACTGAAGATCCCAGTCAAGAACATAGACCCATACACCAACGAGTATTCATAAAAGGAGTAGGGAAATTGTATTATTATTATTAGATTCATAATGACATGGACTCCAAGCATGGTCAGGCTGGCACCACCAAGACAGCACCCTGACAGTGGACTCCAGGGGCAGCAAAAGTAAATGAATGTGTCTCTGATGGTAGAAGACACAGCAACCTTGCAGAGTGAGCATTCAAGCAAGAACACTTCACTCTGAGATGCCATATACAGCCTGAAGGATGACAAGACTGTGTAACTCAGTTTTTGTAGTAATTCATTACACACTCATCACTTACAGACATCGAACAGACAAATAATGTGAATGTCTGTGATTAAATCTGAAGGCAAATTAAAAAAACTGGCAAAGGAGAATTGAGTAATAACTACTTGGAAAGTATTGGAAAACAGACATTTTTCTTTTGGTTTACTGAGTAGAGAAGTACAATTTAATTTCTCAAAAAATTTCTCCATGATTAAGAAATCTGGTTATTTTGGTCCCAGGTGTAAATGATGGGGTTTGTGTCATGTATGTAAATATATTTTTTCTCTCTTCTTCCCTTCTCTTTCAGGTTACCTGTGCAAATTTAACAAATGGAGGAAAAACAGAACTTCTAAAATCAGGAAGCTCCAAATCCACACTAAAGCACATATGGACAGAAAGCAGCAAAGACTTGTCCATCAGCCGACTGCTGTCACAGACTTTTCGTGGAAAGGAAAATGATACAGATTTGGACCTGCGATACGATGCCCCAGAAACTTATTCTGAGCAAGATCTCTGGGACTGGCTGAGGAACTCCACAGATCTGCAAGAGCCTCGGCCCAGAGCAAAGAGACGGCCCATCGTCAAGACTGGGAAATTTAAGAAAATGTTTGGCTGGGGAGATTTTCATTCCAACATCAAGACTGTGAAGCTAAATCTGTTAATAACAGGGAAAATCGTTGACCATGGCAATGGGACGTTTAGTGTTTACTTCAGGCATAACTCCACTGGTCAAGGGAATGTATCTGTGAGCCTAGTGCCCCCTACAAAAATAGTGGAATTTGACTTGGCACAACAGACAGTGATTGATGCCAAAGATTCCAAGTCCTTTAACTGTCGAATCGAGTACGAAAAGGTTGACAAGGCTACCAAGAATACACTCTGCAACTATGACCCTTCAAAAACCTGTTATCAGGAGCAGACCCAGAGCCACGTGTCATGGCTCTGCTCCAAGCCCTTTAAAGTAATCTGTATTTACATTTCCTTTTATAGTACAGATTATAAACTAGTACAGAAGGTGTGTCCTGATTACAACTACCACAGTGACACACCCTACTTCCCTTCAGGGTGAGGACCAACTTGTGTCTGAGACTGAAGCCTGGGGAATAAAAGAGGTCGAATAACAGGGCTGTAACCTCAAGGAGGAAGGCCACATCTATTGCCTGGAATGTGTCTACCTGCTGCTGCTGATGTCAAATGGCTGCAAATATGTTAGTGGAAAACAATCTAATGTAATTTTCGCCCAGTCAGCTCCATGTATCCATCTAGGTGTAAATCACTATGGATTTGAAATAAAACCATACACATACACAGAGGCACACACACACGTTTCAGCGCACATTATTGAGATTCCTGTTAAGAAATCTTTCATTGTCTGATATCTAAGGATTCAGCATAACCTACCATCAAGCAAAATGGATTAACTAGACAGTACAAGGTTTCTAAGGCAGACTGTTATGGAAATCTCCTTGAAAGTCCTTTGAGTACATGCCAATCAATAATCCCCACTCATGCATTCTACTGCTTGGAGCAGCTGTACTGGTAAATAATACTGTAGGAATAAATACTTGTTCAAATGGGAAAAAAGTGTGTTTAGAGTTCAGTATTCCGTATTATATGAACACAGCAAAGTGTCATGACTTTTCCCAGCACACAGTAGGCACATTCAAGGTGGTGTTGGTGGCTCTTTTCCCATGGAGCAAGCCTGTTTCTAGTAAAGATGGGCAAACATTTGGAATTTACATGTGAGCACACATTCTGGTTTAATGTTTCTCTGACTCTTTAAGCTCTGATTCTTTAAACTTGTTTGAGTTTAGGCCAGCTAAACTACTTAAAAACTGGAATTGATCTGTAAGAAACAAAATGCCTGGTGGAGAACATGTAAGTTATAAGTGGCTGTCTTATCTTTATTACAAAATATTGTAACAAATTCAATATCCTAGTCTTCATTTGTATGAATGGTTTGTATTGTACATAATTTAACCAGTGTTATTTGAGCTGCTTATTAATATTAACTTGTAATTGTCTCTCTGCTTGTTATTGTTTAAAACAATCAAGGAAATGAGGATTCCATTTTATCAATGTAGCTGTAAACTCCATTAAAAGACAGAACTATGTACAAAGCATTTATTCAGCTAAAGTATTGTTGAAAGCTATACATATACAACATTACAGTCTGTCTGTATTTAGATATTTTATTTCCAGAGGGAAAAAATGAACTGTACATAAAAATAAAAAATCTTAAAGTTGAGTTTCAATATGTACTGTGTAGATAGTAGTTTAAATAGTTCTGACAAGCGGGTAACACTCCAAGTCTAATATGATTTTCAATATTGTCTCTTCACATATGTACATATATAGACATCTATTTATGAATTTGTGTGTGTGCGTATTTGTGTGTGCATAAGTACATGTGTGTGTGAGTGTGTGCAAATACATATATATATATTGAATACATAAAACTTTCTTGAGCCCTTTTCCTAGCAAGCAGATCTTATTACTGAAAGTCTTGCTAGTTCAAGCAGAAGCCTCCACTCTGGTAAGAAATTACAGGTGCAGGGCTTTGTTTAAAATGAGTCATTATAATTTAGAAGTGGGAAAACATAGAGCCACTCTCTGTGTACAAAGGCCTGTCTTTGCCTTAATTCTAGCCTCCTGTGAGGTACTGATCTCTATGGAATGAAGAGATCCCTTTTTATGGTACTAGGGAATTTTCTTCCTGTATGAAAAAGCTCATAGCTTTTATATATATATATATATTTTGTGGATAGTGTCATACTTTATCCCCAACATCCAGAAAACCAGCAACTGTAAGAAGTCCTCACCTAAAAGAAGGCTGCCCAAAGAACTCAGTATTTCATATCATATCTTTCAGAATTGTCATTCCTGGAAATGTTTTCTTTCCCCTTCCACCCTTGCCCCCATATTCTGTGCTCTTGGGTCACAGCTTCAGATACAAACAAATATGGGTCAGCTTCCAACTATGTGCAGCATTATGAACAGCTTCTCCAAAATCCCAATAAACATCCCACTAGTGTTTCAAGAACAGAAAAGTTCAAAACAACTACCAGTCAAGGACCTCTTTTGCTGAAATGTGCAGAACTTAAATGAGAATGGAACAAAGCAAATAAATAAATAAAGTTATTGAAAGTAAATGTTTTCCCACTGATGTACCATTAGGAGACTTTCATATTATTATTGCTTTGGCTTTTTTGAATAGATATGCTTGTGGGAATTTCCTCGTTATGTATGACATTTCCCAGGACAAAATTATGACCCCAGACCATGTCTAGATTTGGAAACAGAAATTTTCCAAACCATGTAGTCCATATTCTGATCTCATTCAGGAATACCTTGACACATATTTTTTTTTTTCTTTTAACATGGATCATGATTAAACTGGTAGTGTTTATCCCTTGTGCTCTATGAAAAGTAATTTTTATGAATCTAAACCATAAATTAATTTGTGCTGTTGCCAATAGTTAGATCTTGGGTCTATTAAATCAGTGGGAATTTTGATATTGATTTCAATATAAATTTCCATTTAATAGTATGTAGAACTCCAGTGTTAAATATGATTAATAATCTTAGCAATCTGTATTACAATTGAGCATTATATGGTTCATTTGTATTCCTGGAAAATGGATGTGAAATACTATTGCTGGTACAGTTTTATTATTTTCTATATTTTTTAAAACTTCTCATAAATATATGAAACATATACATTCTATTAATATATAAATATTTGTCCACTTTTCAGGTAGCACCCATACAAAAAGAAACTATTCATAATGCAATGTTTGATCTTATTAATTGTGGTTGTTGGTATTTTATCTGCCTCTGTCACAGTCAATCATACTATTAATTAGTCTTAAGCCTTTGAAGATTTTGCTGTTCTTCATAAGCATTGTTGAGTTTGAACTTGAAAGAGTTCTTTTGGTGACTGATTTGTGAAACAGTGATCTAATACCAGAATAGATAATGTATTACTTAGGTGCTAGTTCATTGCATTTCATTCAATCTATTTGGGAAATATTTTGCATTTACTAACTTTGTTAAAGAATGTTTTTGGTTTTGTCATTTGGAAAAGGATTTTAATGAATATGAATGTGTTAAGTCAGTTAAAAAATGTATGTATGAGTGTCTGGGTCTTGCACATAAACAATGCCTTAATGGAGTGCTAGGCCAGGTAAATGTTGCCACACTATAACTCACTAATTCTAGGAGTAATAAAGATGTATATCTCTAAAGGTATATTTTTAGGATTAAAGAAGATTAAGTTACTTATTTTTAAGAAGTGAAGAGACTGTTTCTGTTCACCTTTTTTTTTTTTTTTAATTTTAAATCATGCTTTGGCTCTTATTTTCACTTCATAGAGAATCACAGATAGAGATAATTTAATAGAACAAATTATTTCTGGTAGAAAAATACATGGATCATGCACTTGAGCAAGTATCAGTATATTAAAATTGCCTTGCATGGGTCAGTGATATTATTTATGTGTCAGTTCCTGTGCTTTTGAAAAAAGGAGTCCAAGATCTAGGAAATGAGTGGTTTGCAAAAAAACCTGCAAAAATCACTGATCAAAGTTCTAAACAGTGGTGGTGACCTGTAAGGCTTTCACTTGTCAATTTTATTGAAATATTTCAGCCTGGGGCAGAAAATATACTATCTTCTCTACTTATGAAATCACTTGTAAAATTTTATCCCTTTCTCCCTTCTTCCTCTTACACTGATAGTAAGCAAACTAATAAATTCCTCTGTACACAGACATTGTTTTTCAAAGTTTGCCCTACTTAAAAAGTAATGATGTCAGAAAACATTGAAAATTATTGTTGTAACTTACAGCAAACTTAGAAATATTCAAACTCCATTTATAGGAGAGCAGAATGAAAGTTTGGTAGTGTTCATCAGAACATGTTAGCACAGAAATCTAAGCAATACTATTCAAGTCATTTGGTCAGAAGGCAGTTTTACTATGATTAAATGACATCCTCACGAGTTCTGAACGCTGTGTTGTAAATTGCAATTCTAGTAGAATATCATAAACTACTCTGAAAATTATGTGTTAGAGAATTGTGGAAGAAAATGGATTAAAAAATATCTGCTAAGCTTACAGAAAAACCAGCCTAAAGCGTGGACAACTGATCTGAAATATTATTCTTCAACAGAAGACAATGAACCTCAGTCTTGGCATCTTATGGGTCCTTCTATTGTCCTTCCACAGCAGAGGTAGTAAAATTGAATCTGACTGCATCTAGTACAGGAAGAACAGCTTTTCTCTAGTGATTTTTTGTATTTAACTGCATGTCTTAGGACTGCCAGAGACCTCAAATGGCTGCATCAAGGATCTGTTGTGCTAGGAGCTGCATAATATACAATGCATATGATACCTATTTGGGAATGGTTTGGATGCCAAGAACTCCTCATTTCCAAGACAGTGTACTGCAGAGTTCTTGTGAACCATGTACTTATAAATTTGAAGCATACTCTTTTGTTAAATATACACAGTTCCCAAAAAATACGTATTTTTAAAATCTCATACATACATACCTCAATGAAATACAAGCACTTTTAGCTCCTCTGATTAGTTACAGTTGCCTCTTTAATTTATGAATATGAATACTATTTCCAAAAAGATTTTGACATTGGAAGAACAGAGTATTTTATAATAAAATAATCTTTCAAATTTTTTTTATGGTGGATATCTTACTAAAATTATGATAAAATTGGCAGATTAAATATTTTTTTATTAATTTGACAAAATAAATATTTATGGATATGGTTAACACCTTTTGCTGCTTGCAAGAGGAACACTCATTAAAAATAAACTGTCATATGTAAATATACAATAAATGTTGGGTCTGTGGGAATGTTGTATTTGCTTGAATAGTATACACCTGATAATATGATCTAATACTTGTAGCATTTCTCCAAAAACATTGATCCATCTTATAGTTAAAAATTACATTTTCTCATTGTTTCCTGTATTCTGTGCTAATTAGTTAATGCTCCCAAACTAGCAAGCACATTACTTTGTTTTGTACAGGAGTATTTTCTCACTGGAAAATATCTATGCAATTTTTAAATTCTGTTTGAAGGATACAACTGATGAATTTCTGCCTGTGCTTGGTCTGATGTCCTGTGTATGATATATATAATTTTTAATCCTTTATCTTAGTTTGCCTTTGGGATAAAGAAGCAATGTAGGTGCTTTAGATCAGGAGCAAGCAAGGACTCACTTGAACTTTAATTCTAAGAGAGTTATATTCCTGTTGTCAAAGAAGGAATTTGGGAAGATGGAGAATGTTTGGGATTTTTTCCTAGTTCAAATTGTACCTCAGTCATGTATCTAGTAGTGATATTGCTATGAGGGAAGGCTTAAGTAGTGTGTGAAATGAAATCTGCCTGTTGTTAATAAGAAATTAGAGTCACCAAAAGAGAATTTATAAGTTTGAAGCTGTTCATACACATCAGTGAAGATGTGGCAATTAGCCATTTCAAAAAGTAAATCACTATTTTATGAAAAGACTACTGAGTTTCTGGAAAAAGTCCAATGTACTTGCAGACCTGTTCATCACAGAAAATAAATAAAACCTGACCGGGCAAAAGCATAAATAACATGAGATCTTTAGTTCCTCATCTAGGCCACAGAAAATCTGGAATGAGATGCAAAAGCCTGCTTAGAAAGAGGTAACCTAAGGAAAATTTGAGATCACTTATGGAGTGTAAATGAAAAGTCATATTAATTCTTCCAGTGTCCAATAGCTATAATTGTTAAATTTATTATGACATATTTATGAAGCATTTAAAAATTTCTTTTGTGAAAGTAAAGTATTTTGATTTGTTATAGATTGGAAATAAAGATGGAATTTTCTGCAAGGAAATTTCTACAATTGCAATATACTTCTTCCAGAGGCAAATACTCTGAACTCCTTTCAACTGGCTACATGCGGAGTCCAGAACTGTGATTGCTGATAGCGAACAAACCAGCAATAACAGAACTCGAAAGGCAGAGAACATGGTGATCTTGAGTTCACTGTATCTTCATTTTGTTGTGTTTGTCTGTTTCTGGCCTTGTGTTTGTATTTTTGTAAATCTAGAGGCATAAGAAATGCACTTATTTAGCCATGATTCACTTTAACATTCTAAGTGTGGAGCTCACTCATAAACTCTATGAAAGAAATGGATAAATAGGTGTGTAGGTGCTCTAGTCTTTATTTTGCTAATGACCTGTAGGTCATGTCCAGTTAATAAG